CGACTCCATGTGTAAGGGGTGGTGCTAGCCCTTCCGTTAATTTGCTATCCAAATAACGCTTCAATATAAATGGCATACTTTGACAAATGAGCGCCATATACTGCTCCACAGCCGTTTCATCATTATGACTGATGAATGAGTCCAAAATCTCTACTATTTTAAAGTCAACTACAAAGCCCACCCAATGCTTAAACCCTCAGTTCATTGGAACGTAGACAATGTACATAAACCGTAGAAACATTTGTCTCTCACGCTGAATAGCCCACTTTGTAGGTTTTCTCATTACAATGCCCTGAATGGTTTTTCCCTAGTCATAATGACTTTTGTCTGCAGATATGAAAGCCTTGTAGTTGTTGACGATGATGGATATGAACAAGGTGTCTACAAATGCTACCCTGTCTTTAAAGTATATTTGACCTCTACGTCTCCAAAGCATGGCCATTCTGACTTGCAGTGCTGATTATGAAGATAATCAAAAAATAAATAACAGATAATACAGATAATTAAAAAAAAATCATTAGGTAGTCGCTATGTACTTACCATTGTGTTAACCCACTCAGTAGGGTTCACAATTTGTAGGAAGAATTGATTGTTCACAGTATGACCAATGACAATGCAAAAGTTGCTGTAGTGAGAGCAATTGGTAAATGATAATAATGAAAGTTTTAGCATAAATTGCATTGCATACGATATAACTTACATGTTCCTTTCACGCGATAATAACTCTTGGAATGCCTTGAACTGGTCTTGTTCCACTGTTTCGAGGGGTTTGTATGCATCTTTCGATCTGGATACAAATAGAGCTTTCACCTTTTCATCTGCGGTGTAAAGATCTCGAATCTTGTCCGACCTTACGCGTGCGCGTTTCCTCTACCTCTTCCTCGTCCTGTTCGTCTTCCTCTTCCTCTTCTATTTCTCTTTAGGCCAGAAGATCCCTCAACATCTTGTGGGGGGTTTTGGAGTACAAGAGGTCTTATGTGAAGCATCACTTGCATCCTCAGGTGCAGTATGGTAATCTTTCGCCGCATTTGAGTCCTCAGCCATGAGTTCCTGCATGAATGCAACTTCGGCATCCTCTACCTCATCTCCCCAACGCAACTCATTCTGTTGGTCATTGTCACCAATATTCACTACCATCTGTTTCACAGACAACTGACACACACAAAAAAATTTGCAAAATTACCAACAGAATCACAAACTACTTATAAGACAAGTACTACAAATAAGACTAAATATAATACTACACATAAGACTTAGCAGAGGGTCGGATTCCACGGCAAGTATGTCCTCAAGATGCAATAGTGTGATAACATTTTGACAACCTTCGGGATCTTCAATGGAAGTTTTTAAGTTATCAGGTTGAGGAATTTTGGAGACCAACATTGATATAGATTGGAGGGCCATGAGTTGTAGTGATAGAGGGAACCTGAAGCATGAAGAAAAGTCAGAAGAAAGCCCAGGGGTGTTTTCTGTTTAAGTTGACGACACAATCATGTTAAAAGATTCTCCATTTTCTCGGCGTCCGTGACTGGCTTCGGAGCTTGAAAACGAGATACTGTTATGTTAAATGATACCCTACACCATGGATACTGCATGAAGCTATCCAAGTCAGTCAACATCTCTACGTATTTCTCGGTCAAAGCCAGATTTTTGCAAAAGAAAACACCGTCAACAAGAACGATGAGGGCCAATGGTAGCCGTTTCCATCGGGGTAGATCCGGATCCTTTAGCATTTCAAGCACTTCAAACACGTTCATAGCAGTCGCTCTTCCAAATAGGTCTTTCCACATTCCCGTCTTTCCGACATCATCTTCTTCTGCAATGCTACAGGTTTGGGATTGCAATTCAATCCAGTGATTTCCTTAAACTCCTGTATCGAATATTTCAGAGGCTGTCCACCAAAGACGAACCAAATCTCATGTTTCTTCGTGGTCACAAGTTATCGTGATAGAAGAGGATGGACTAGTTTGGCGCTGTTGCAACATCTTGCAAAAGGTAGATGGAATAGCTTCCCAAACTGGGAATGGAGTAGCTTCTCAAAATCTTCAGTACCCTTTAACGCTTCAACAAGGAGGCCAATTACATTGGCCTTTGAATATATGTTTAACCGAGCACCAACGGGGTAGCAACCATCGCCGAGGATCCTTCTTGCTAGTTTTTCCGAAAGGTTATTTGAACCTTCACCATCTTCCATGCCTGATATTTGAACCAAAACAACAAATCCAAAATGCAGGGAGCATATAATATTCTGGAGAAACATTGAAATGCAAACCACGGGGGAATTTCGGGGAAAGGAGTTCGAAGGAGAAAACAGGGATCTAGAAAAACTACCCTATTCATATGCTCTCATATATAAACTTCTGTAACTGTTTTCTAGATGGTATAAGAGTAATACAACCGTTTGAATTCAATGTAGACATAAGAAACCACTACTAGAGTTAATAAACCGCTAATAATTCAATCAGGCCAATCAGGTAAACCGTTTCAATCTTAATTAGAGTTAACAAACCGCTACCCTAGTTCATACAAGGTCGAAGTTCATAAAAGTAACTTACTTTTAGAATTCTGAGTAGGCCAGTCTAGAAGAAGAGGAGAGAATTGTACTTTGGAACTACACCGCCGGCGTGGATTGAGACGAGTCACGTGGATGGAATCTTCAACCCGGTCACTCGGCCGCGGTGGCATGGGCGGCATGGGCGGCTTCTCCGTCAGAGGTGTCTTTGACGATTTTATATCTCTCGGCAGCATTACAACGGTAAATCGGAGGACTAATCGGAGATGGATTGACGGAGATGCTAGATTGACTACGTCGAGATGTGGATCCCAAAATTTTTTTTTATTTAGATGTCGTCGATAAATTATACATTGGTTTTACTTCGGTTTATGATATTGGACTTTGGTTTATGATATTGGACCTTGGTTTAGCAAATCGGATTTTACCAGAAATATTTAGTTATTTTAGTTCAGCAATGAAAATTTTGAAAATAAAAAATAGCCTTAAATGCCTAGCGGGAACATAAACAGTAAACACAACTCAATCCTTCCTTGGTTTTAAAAACTACCCATTCATCTAATTTATAACTTAAAAACTACTCATACATCAATTTTCCCTTCTTTTAATTTGTTAATGATTCTCCACTCTCAACTTAATAAATTTCATTAGTTTTTAAGAGAATTGATTCAACTCTATGATTTTTTTATTTTATTTTGTATCATCTTATATATTAATCTTCAATTTTTTGGAAAACACAATAACCTCGATTGTTTGCAGGTTTTAGAATAGATTTTGGTTTTTGTTTTTCCAAAAACCAATATTCAACCAATCATGATTCTGGTCAAAGAGATTCCATAATTTGTAGAAAACTTAGATTTTTTATAGATTTACCAATTCCTTTTAGGAACCAGAATCTCTATTCTATAGGTTTTTCCCCATTAATTTTCAAATTTTTTTATTATCATTTGTTTTGAAAATTTTTTCCCTTCTAATTTTAGGCATCAACTTATCTACATAAGAAACAACTGTATACATAACCTTCTCAACCAAACACACAAATACAAAAAAACAAATCTCATGTTACAAACCAAGTTGAATTTCTTAGATAAGGTTACTTAATTACTTTTAAGTACAGAAAAATTTTGCATACTTCATCTATAGCATGTAAACGAGGAACCAAAAAAAGTTACATATGACTTTGTGACGAATGAAGCCTACATGAGACGAACTGAAATTTATGAGCGAGCACAGAATAATAAGTTGGAACATGCAATTGACTCATTGCTAACGCTCTCGGATCTTCAATATAACTGATCATTATATTGGGGAGCGGTGACTGTACTTCAAACCAACAAGACACATGCACGTGTTTATCTCACATTAGCAAATGACAATGCTAGACTAATACTGTGAATGGTAACTGTGAACTAGTAAACGCAAGACGGTATTTGTATACTCCACTTTCATATTACCAATGAGCAATGTTATATGAAGTGCGTTACAATTTTGTTTTTTTTTAATAAAAAAATAAAATGTATAAGTGTGTTCCAATTTTTATGAATGATTGTGTGGAACCGTACAGCACAGTAAAAACACTGGTATTTTAGGGTCCGAATGATAACAACGTTTGTGGTTGTGCGGGAAAAGTGGTTTAAAAGTGTGGTACGGTTCAACTGCGGTACGTGCAGGGGAAAGATAACTGCGGTTTGTATTTAATAAGTGGTATAAAATAATGTTTGATTGGTAAAAAACAACTTGCGGTTGACAATAAAATGTCTGAATGGTGAATAAGACTAAAACGGTAAAGACTACAGATTATAGATAAGTATATTAGAAAATATATAATAATTAATTAATTGTAATTAAGTTATTTATTTTGATTAATAAATTAAAAATTGTATAAATTTATGAACTTCAATATGGTTTAACTGCGATAACAACAGGAAAAAATATGATTAATACATAATAAGTTGTACAAAACAATGTTTGATTAGTAAAAAAAATACTTGTGGAATGTATGATATTTTAATTTTTTTTTTAAAGTCTGACTTTTCACATTCACCAATCAAGACTAATGTTAAGAGTCTCGGTATTTGATTGTGCAAAAAAAATGATTTAAGAGTATAGTACAAAAATGGTTCAAGTGTGGTACATGCAAGATAAATAACTAAACAAAAATTTAACACAAATGGTTAGCCGAACACAAAAAAATGTTTGACTCTTTATCTTATTGGAGAGAACAAAATTCTCTTTTTTTCTTTGCAAATGAGGAAAAGGAAAAAATATTGTGCAATTTTAATTAATAAATTTTTTTATATGTTTATTTATTGGTTAGCGATTTTGTTTGTCCTGCTGTGTTTTACCTGTGGTATAAACTCAAGTGCGTTACTGCATCTGCTGTGAGTAATATAGTTGTCTCGAAAAACGTGAGCATATTTGAAAAAATGCATATATATGTTAAAACATATGTGTTTGGTGATTTAAATGTTTTTCTTTGTTTGCAGACATGGCTTCAGCTAGCGGCTCAAAGGATTATCCCCAAAGATTGTACCCGGAAGGCAAATCTCTTTTGCTGAAGAAGAGTTGTCATCATAACTGCAAGCTTCATGAGTTCATCATGATGATCAGGGATCACCTTGGGGAAGAAATTTACAACGACATCATGAATAATTCTCAAGTTGGCGTGCTACTGAAGCTTGCATTGACTTCGTTCATATGGAGTGCTAAGAAGGTTCAGTATTTTGTGAGCAACCAACTGAAGGTGGATAGGAATCATGAGTTATGGACTCTTATTGGAGGTCGCCCGGTTAGATTTTCACTCTTAGAGTATGCTGAAATCACGGGGCTAAACTGTGACCCAATTGATCCCAATGACAAGTTGGAAATAGATCACACCGAATTTTGGGCCGAGATTGGAGTGAGAGGTGGGGAAGGCCCTAATTGGAATGAGTTAGAAGCTCGGATGAAAACTTGCCAAGCATGGACTTATGAGAAGAAGAAGATGTTGGCGTTGCTTTTCATTTTGCATGTTGGCGTATTGGGACTTCACCGCAACAGTCGAATCCCGTTGGCTTTAGCCAAAACAGTTATGGATGAAGCAGCTTTCGAGAGACAGCCGTGGGGTCGTTATGGATTCCATGAACTAATTTATTCCATCAAGATTGCTAACTTGGGGGGAGCACGATACACTCTCCACGGATGTGTACAGGCAATGCTTGTTTGGGGTTATGAGTGCATCCCTATATTGGCTGAGAGAGCAGGGAAAATACGCCCCGATGTAGATGACTCGGTTGTTCCTCTTCTTAGGTGGACTTCATCACGGTGTCGTTATGTTTTCGAGACTCTTTTGGAGATGGATAAGAGTGAAACCGAGGACCACAAGGTACTTGTACCTTAGCAGCTATTTAGTTGGTAGAGTTTTTTGATAATAGCTTAGTGTTTGGTAGAGTTATTTATTATACAACAATTTGTGGTAGAGTTAGTAAATGTGGTAGAATTTAACATTTGGTAGAGTTTTTACAATTTGGTAGAGTTTTAACATTTTGGTAGAGTTTTTACATTTTGGTAGAGTTTGTACAGTTTGGTAGAGTTTTTACATTTTGGTAGAGTTTTTGATTCAGTTTGATAGATTTATTAATATCATGGTAGATTTATTAATATCATTTTCTATGGCATGGCAGGTTCGGGTTAGACATCTAATGGTGGTGAAGCCCTTGGAGGAAATATATCCTGTCTGGGAAGGAGAACCCCGACGTGTAGACGTCGATATAAAGGTGCATAACATGATATGCGATATTCTGGATGGAAGCTTGGATGAGGGGTTCTGGTAATCTCCCAAAAACGTAGGTGGCGATGCAACAGGTGGCGCTGCAACAGTTCAGACGCCGAAACAGTCGAAGAGGAAGTTGGAAACTCCACGCGTGGAGAAGAAAAAGAAAGAGAAGGTGAAAGAGGCTGAAGCAACGGATTCAACTCCGAGAAGCAAAAGGAGAAGGGAAAGAGAGGCAAGGAAAGAAGAGACGAAGCACGAAAACAAGGAGAAAAAGAAACTTAAGAAGGAGGATGAGGAAGAAAGGTTGTTTCTCGGCTATCGGCGGCTGTATGCCTAAACCCAGAAACCCTAGTTTTTGTGTGAGTGGTAGACTTTTTAAATATGTAGTAGAGTTTAGGTATTTTCATTTATAGTAGACTTT